ATTTTAAAAAAGGCGTTGTCATACAAAATGTAATTAAGGCTATTATTCCAAACAAAACAAGTACTTATCCAATCTGTGTTATTCATCAAAATAAGCTATTTGAAGTTAAAGCTTATATTAGAAAACATTATTTAAAACAACCTTTGTTCTTTATTTTTCTTTCACCGTCTGGAAGGAAGGTATTTTGCACATATTTTTTGTTCAGTTTCAGCTTGGCTGGCATGCAAAACAGGCGCATGCAACATGTGTCTCCGCGTTGTCTGGTTGTCTGTGCCCAACTGCGACACGCATTTATCTGAGGCATTTATCACGCATGGGGCAGCGATCCACTCCCTGGACTCTAGACTCAAGACCCAAGACCCTGGTCAGTGTCCACCCGCTTCTGTCTCCTGTCCATTGTCCAGTGTCCACTGGATGGCGAGATGGCAGCCATATCAGGTTGCTCCCGCTAGATAAGTCGAATGCGATATGCGTATCTCATAGATTTGCCACAAGACGTCAGAGGTTCCGTCGCTTCTCTACTGGCTATTTTTGGCCCGGCTTGTTTTGTTGCATAAACAATTTGTGGCTTTTCCTGTTGCGGCACACGTTCGTTAATTTTTCTCCTTCTCTGTTAGTTTTTCCCCGTCTGTTTGCATTTTGTCTAAACAAATCTCGATTGATAATTCTGCATAAATTATGCGAGCCAAGTGAAATGAGCTGGAGCCCAACTGCATCTTGGAGCGGATACGGGCATTCCTGGCCCGATCTTTATGTGACAGGATCAGAAAGGAAACGGAGAGAAAGAGATAGAGATATTGATTTGCATTTTCCGGTCGACTAAGGGGAAGTTGCAAAAATAGTTGTTGTGAAATCTCCGAGTATCTCACAGATCTTGGGCGTTTCTCGGATTACTTGATTAAGAGTTAAGCCACTGGGAACATCCATCGAAAGTATACATTATTTGTAGTTTAAGGTAAGGGTAAGGAAAATGAAGAAAATATTTTAGATGATTTGAATAAAAGTTTCTTTAATATAGTAAGGTAATCTCTTAATCTCTTAATCTCGTCTTAGATTTCTGATTTAGATTTTTATGAAATTTCTTTTCAAATCATTTTTGTAAATTTTTTGAGATCTGAAGACTTTCTTTTAGAATTTCTCGCCCGCTTACTTTTGATAAGGTTGGATACTCTCCGATGGGCAGTTTCTCAGATCTCACAGCCCACTTGACGATTTCTCGAAGCTTTCCCAGACTGCAGATGCATTAGCGGTGATGTGAGGCAGGGTAAAGCTGCGAGATACTTCTCAGCAACACTCCGATATCGGGGGAAAAATCACAAGTCAGCAAAGCGTTCACACACACAAAGGGAGTAAGACGGTGATGTGTTAAGGTATAAAGTAGAAGGTATAAGGTATTTACTTACTGTGCCATTGCCATTCGATTTAAAGTTAACCTTTGGGCGGTGGCTGGGGCACAAGGAAGGCATTGTGCCTTTGTGCCCACTGGGCCCGGGTCTTTAGTCTTTAGTCTTTCGTCTTTGGACTTCTGGACCATTGTGTGCTCACTTCCGCTGCTGCCTTTCTTCTCATCATTCTCGTTCTCATTGCATTTAACGCTCATTTCTGGATTCATTATTTATTGTGATTCCTCTAAAAACGAGTAGCCGAGGACGAAGAAAAAAGTGTGAAGCTGGCTGAATGGGGAACTCCTGAACAATGGCCCAGTCTTTCCGGTTCCAGTTGCAATGCCCAAAGTATTCTTTGCACATTTCGGAATATGATTAATTGCCGAGTCAATTGATATTTTATTGGTCTAGGAAGTAACCTCCATCTCAATCGTTGCGGAAGTTGCATTTGCACCGGAACTGTCAGCGTCTTAAGGTTCTCCATCCCTACAACCTATTCCTCACTAGGTCTTGTTAAAATATTTGCCTCAAATGCTGACAAATGGGTTGTGCCGTCGCTTATGAGGCGGACAAACATCAATTGAAAGGGCAGCTGGTAGAAAAAAAATGAGGAACAACAACGGGGGAAAGATTTAACAACACATGAAACGAGTAGCCGACGTCGCGACGGGCAAACAACAGGGCCAAGTACAAGACTCGAAATCTTTAACCCGTTGCAACTAACAAGTTTCTTGTTAAAACAACGTCGTCGGGGCCAATAAAGCAGCAACAACAACCACATCGGTTGAGAGAGGGAAGCGGCGCATGCGCACCCATATTGAATGTTGCCAACATTTACGCATTCGAATATACTTATATGACGGCGACTTGGTCAGCTGTCCGTTCCCATAAGTCACTTCCCACCGACTTCGGGTTCTTTGTTTGGTCAAAGTGCGTTCCGTTTGCCGTTCGGATTGCCGGAGATTTTCCTCATGTCTTACTTAATTCCGGGAAATAGTATTTAGGCAAAATAAGACTTTAACATCGAAATGGGAACTTGCTTCCTTCAAGATATAAACAAAAAAAAAATGTTAAAAATGGTTATTTTTAGTATCATTATTTTATACATAGTATCATTACACTTAACATTTAAGAAAACTAAAATGTTCCACAAAAATATTAAACAAAATCTATTATAAATATGTTTGTTACAAATATTTTGTTAAAAAAATATTACTGGCGACCATATGACCTTTTTATTAACAGTTAAAAAGAAAACGGTTTTTAATTTTCAAACTACTTTCTTGGTAATTCGGGCTTTAAGACAGCTAAATAAAAATACCACTACCGAAACGATTAGATGGCTTTTACTTGAAATACTCCAAGATGAAATCCAAAAACCCTCAGACTCACGATCTTATTTGCATTTATGCTTTGGCACTGTGCTACAACGGTAGTCGAGGGCCCTTCTCCAGACCCTGTTTTACCTAATTACACACAAAGTTGCCCCCTCCACCTCCAATTCGGTCTCTCTAATTGTTTAAGTGCTTTTAGCGTTTGGCCAAACAATTTTCATATGCAACCTGGCCCACACTCAGGCGGCAAACAAACCTTTCCAGTTGCCATAAAGCATATAGATATGTGCGTACCTCGCCTTTATTTTAAGTTGTTGGATTTGGGTTTTATTGCTGGGAAACTCTCACACATTGTCGCAAATTGAGAGGGTAGATCGAGGCTTTCCGATGTGTAACGTGAGAGTTGGGTGAAAAAGTTTGCGGCACCTGCAACGCCCAGCTTGTGGCACACATAAAAATAAAAACGCAAACTTCCGTTAGCTGCAGCATGTGCAACAATCACTGTGTTTTGGATCTGGTTTTGAGGAGGAAATTACGCAGTTTCATCCTATGTAGAGCAGTTTGGCAGCTTACGAGCCAACGATAGTTTTCTGACAAGCCTTTTTATTAGGATTCTGTGCACAATTCTTTAAATGGCATTTAAATTTGTTATTGCACTGCTGTTCACTGCCTTTCTCCAAACGAGTCAGTAAAACTTAAACTTACCGACTTCCTCAATAATGTTAAAGAGATAGTTCTTTACACTTGTTTACAATATTATAATTTTAATTCGTTTTTTATGATTGTTCTATTTATGTGTGAGAGAAAAAAGGCAGGTTTGTATAAAAAGGAAGCAAGAACGACATATAAACGCCTAGAGTTTTATTATTTTTATGCATTCGATTTACAGTCTCAATTTTAAAAGTAGGTTCCTAAAGGCCATATCACATTATATTTTGAGAAAAAGACTAAGCAGTTGGAAAATAGTTTACACTTTAAATAAAATTTACAAAATTAATACGTTATCGGAACGAATATTCGATCCAATTTAGTGTAGAAGCCTAAAAATCTGTCTGTTACCAAGTGAATTTTCATGCACTGTTTTTACAAAAAATTTTTTATATTTATTTGCCGGCAAAGACAACAAATCAAATTCATAAATTGCATCGGTCAAGCAACTGTTAACAGTTACCCCGGCTTTCAAAACACAAAGTTGCCCCAAATTTGGGTAATATATAAATTTAACCAGTTTACTTATTGGTTAGTTCATGGAAGATAAAAAGCAGTTGCAAAATATGTGCATCTCTGCATGATAAATAAATTTTGTGTGCGAAATTCTCGGAGACGGAAATATGCCAGTTATGTCAGTGGTGGGAAAGGAGGTTAAGGGGGTTGGAAAGCGGAGGAAAACCACAAGCCGTAAGGCCCGGAAAATGTGCCCCAACCCGCTCCCCAGATCCCGCCACATATGTTGGCACAAAGTTATGGCCATTTAAAGTTGATTTTCTTGTTGTCAATGTTATTTTTTTTTTTGTTTCGACTTGTAAATAGTTGTTTGCTCTGCATGCCAAGAATGAGAAATGCATATCAAATGTATCAGATGACACAATATTTTTGGGAAATACTTGAGGGCAACACTTTCGTGTGTGTGTGTGTGTGTGGGTTGTGAAGATGTCCTTGGATGCGGTGCATCTCGAAGATACACAAATATCAATTTCAAGTGCGTCACTTTTTGGGATGTAAGCCGCACTAAAAGGCTCCACTTAGGCCAGGACATGTCTGCGACCCATAAATATACATCTAGCTGCTATTTTGCGGAGGAGTGTATTTTTTATGGAGTCTTAATTATGCCAAGGCACTTGAGCAGTTTTAGTTTTTAGTAGATGTGTGGACTCTTTATGGACGGCATCATTTCGTGGAGGACGTGCGGCCAGTTCGGCGGATGAGTTGCAATTGCCAGAGAGCGGTTCTAGACCCTTAGACCCCGCATAGCCAGATAAATGAGTGGAAACCATTGAGTGAAACTCGAAGAACTGAGTTCTCTAACGAGAGAGAGAATCGTATCTGTTTCTCACAACCAGTTTCGACTACCTGCTAGCTATTTTATCTGAGAGAACTCGCCTTCGCAAGGCCGTCTCGCATTAGACACGCTCTCTTTTTTGGGAAACCGATGCAGCTGCCTGTTTGCCACCACCATCTAAACCGCTCTACCGCTCCTCGCTCTACCGTTCCATGGTTTACCCGCTCAAACAGCCCGGCAAAAACGGCAGCCGAGGTATCGTTTGTGCAGCAGTCGCTTCGTAAAATCAGTGTAGTTCGTTGCCTCGTCGTGAGCGGTTGTCTGCCTGCCATATACAGCCAAACTCGACTTTGTTCCTCTCTCTTACCAGAGTTGGTAACACGAAATACGTAAACATAATACGAAAACCCGTCGACCGCCTAACAACAACTTGAAGCGTGCAGTTAAAGCGAACCATTGGATTATCGCGCACGTTTCCCAAACAATCTGCAAAAATAATACAAAACAAAACACAACAAACAAAATTTTATTTTGACAAACACACATGTTTTAGTTAAGCAAATGTGACAAAACATAAAATTGGCTAAATAGAAAATTTCAAAAAGTGAAACAGTGAAAACTCAAACTCATCACACAAACAAAATTAAAACATTTTAAGTTCTGTTCATCAACGATTTGATTTACTGAAAAGCAGAAATTGTTTCCAAGCAATCTTCAAAGAAAATTAATAGGTAAGTTTCAATTGTGGAATAAATTGTGAAAAGTTTGACGAGGAATAAGTGGAACATTGTGAAAATTAGGAAACTAAAAAACTGAGACAAAAAAATGTATTTTAAAATTTTGAAGCAGAAAATTTACAACTAAATAAAATGGTTGAAAATCTTATTAAAACCAATCAGTATGTAAATATTTTCAGTTGACTCTGAAATTTGATGAATAAGAAAAATCAGTTCCCAAAATCTATAAATTTGAGTTAGTTAGAGTTAAAATTTTAAATTTTCCCAGAAAGTAATAAACACCAAATCTAAAAATATAATTGAGATGAAATACTGGCGAAAACATAAAATAAAATGTTTGCTTTGAGAACCTCTAAATTTTAATCAATAGAAATAGTTCCACGAAAATAGGCTAATTAAACGAACTCACCCAGAGACAGAAACTAATTTTGAAAAATCTCTCCCTCGTTTGTCTACCCGCAGCACTATGGAAAACTGAAAATCCCAACGAAAACTCAAAACGAAACGCAGCAATAGCAGCGCAGCACAGCGAGCAAACTGAAAGACAGAAAAGTAATAAGAAACAGAGATCCCAAGATGCAGCGAAACATGATGATCGCGTTCGTGGGCATCTGGTGCATTTTGGCCAGCATTGGAGTGGAGCCTGCGGCTGGATTGGCCAATTGCCCGCCCGGCTGCCAGTGCGATGATAATACCCTGGTGGTGCAGTGCGGCGAGGGCCAGCTGGACGTGCTGCCCATTGCCCTCAATCCCTCCATCCAGCGACTGGTGATCAAGAGCAACAAGATCAAGACCATCGACTCGTCCATCCAGTTCTACGCAGAGCTGACCTTCCTCGACTTGTCCTCTAATCACCTGATGACCATCCCGCAGCGCACCTTCGCCTACCAGAAGAAGTTGCAGGAGGTGCATCTGAACCACAACAAGATCGGCCAGATCAGCAACAAGACGTTGATTGGTCTGTCGGCAGTGACTGTCCTGAATCTGCGTGGTAACCAAATCTCTGAGTTGCACCAGGGCACTTTTAGTCCGCTGCTGAAGCTCGAGGAGCTGAATCTGGGCGAGAACCGCATTGGTTTCCTGGATCCCAAGGCCTTCGATGGACTCTCCCAGCTGCGCATCCTGTATCTGGACGACAATGCCTTGACCACCGTTCCCGATCCAGTGATCTTCCAAGCAATGCCTAGTCTGGCCGAGCTTTTCCTGGGCATGAACACTTTGCAAACCATTCAGGCTGGTGCTTTCCAGGACCTCAAGGGTCTCACTCGTCTGGAGTTGAAGGGGGCCAGTCTGCGCAACATTTCGCACGACAGCTTCTTGGGTCTGCAGGAGCTGCGCATCCTGGACCTGTCCGACAATCGCCTGGATCGCATTCCCTCCGTGGGCCTCAGCCAATTGGTTCGCTTGGAGCAGCTCGCGCTGGGACAGAACGACTTTGAGGTGATCAGCGAGGGCGCCTTCACGGGCCTGAAGCAACTGAAGCGTCTGGAGGTGAATGGAGCGCTCAAACTGAAGCGTGTGATGACCGGAGCCTTTGGCGGCAATGGCAACCTCGAGTATTTGAATCTCTCGTCCAACAAAATGCTTGTGGAGGTGCAGGAAGGTGCACTGAGTGGACTGCCCCATTTGAGGCATGTGGTGTTGAAGGCCAATGCCTTGACCTCGCTGGCCGAGGGACTCTTCCCCTGGAAGGATCTCCTAACTCTGGACCTCTCCGAGAATCCTCTATCCTGCGACTGCCGCGTGATGTGGCTGCATAATCTGCTGGTGGCCAAGAATGCCAGTCAGGATGATGTGTCCGAGATATTGTGCGAATTCCCCGAGCGTCTGCGTGGCGAATCCCTGCGTCACTTGAACCCCGCCCTGATGGGCTGCACCCATGCCGATCCTCGCAAGCAGGCGCTGATCGGAGCTCTCCTGGTGGGATCCGCGGCCACAATTACCGCCTTGGCTTTGGTTCTGTACCGCTGTCGCCACAAGATCCGCGAGACCATCAAGGGCGGTCTGTGGGGCAACTCGGCGCTGGGCCGCAAGGAGCGAGAGTACCAGAAGACCTTCTGCGACGAGGACTACATGTCGCGCCACCAGCACCATCCCTGCTCCCTGGGCATCCACTCCACATTCCCCAACACCTACACAGCCCCACATCACCCCGGTGTGAACCATCACTATGGTATGTGCCCGATGCCAGTGAATGATCTGGGTGCAGTTGATCCCCAGCAGAAGTTCCAGCAGTTGGCAGTGCCCACGGCCACAATGATCAGTGAAAAGAAGCTGAACAACAACAAGGCTTTGGTGGCACAGGGAGCCATCGATGACAGTGCTTCCTTTGTGCTGCACATGAAGTCGGCCACTATGGGACGGGATGTGCATCAGCAGAATCCGCAGCTCAACCACTACACCAAGCCGCAGTTCCTGGCGGCCACGGCGACAGTGGGTGACTCCTGCTACTCGTATGCGGATGTGCCCATGGTGCACGGTGCTCCGTTGGGCGCCACAAATCAGCCCCAGTTGCGCCTCACCCAGGAGCACTTCAAGCAGCGCGAGATGTACGAGCAGGAGATGGGTAGCGAGATCCTGGACCATAACTACATCTACAGCAACACTCACTACTCGATGCCGCTGGAGCAACTGGGTCGCAGCAAGACGCCCACCCCACCACCAATGCCTCCAGCTTTGCCCCTGCGGAATGGACTGTGTGCCACCACAGGCCGTAGGTCCTTCCAGCAGAAGTCCGCATCGCAGAAGCAGCAGCAGCAGCAGCAGAATAACAACACCCTGCGTCAGTTCACGCACTGATCCTCGACCTATCGACGCAGGCAGCTGAGCATCTATGCTTAGTAGTGCGCTGCCCAACACTGTGATGCCAAAAACCCCCCAAAAAACCACTCCCCACTCCAACACCCCAGACACAATTAGCGTTTAACTAGGAACTAAGGAAAACATTGTAGTAGCTGTAATCGAAATACAACCTAGGCATTAATTCAGAGAAAATCTTGCCTTGTACATAAATAACTTAAAAGCACTCTTTTCGAACCTATAGAACACTGAAGGATCTCCAATTCTATCAGCACTTTGCCACACTACTGTTTTCCTCCCCCTCCGAACATAAGGTAATCGTAGCCCCTAAGACGAATTGTAAATGATATACGAGTTTAGATAAACTAAAGACAACAAAGCACTGAAAGTCATTGTAAGCTTAATTTTAACTTATTTAATTTATTGTTAAATGCAAAATCGAATCAAATGCAAACCACTATTTATGTATTAGTTAGAGAAGAAATTTATGCAAATTTAAGCGAAAAACAAAATATCAACAGAGAAAACAAGAAATATACGCAATGAAAACAAAAAACTCATTTGAAATCAAAAATTACCACTGTGTGTATTCATTGTGCTCTTAATTTAGCAGCTTTTCTTTTCAGACCGCATACTGCCGTGGAAATTTGCCTTTAATTAAACATTTTCCGTTAGCAACCGGCAACTTTTCCTCTATGTCAATTTGTCTCAACATTTTCACTTTTTTTCCACGAGCTCAAAAATTTTGACTTTCAATTCAATTAAAACTAAGTTGAGGGCTTGCATGTCGAGAGTGCAGGAGAAAAAAGGCAGCAAAATTAATATACTATTATTCAATAGTAACAAGCTTGGAAACTTTTGCAGACCTCGGCTCAAGCAGAGCGTGGCAAGTATGGAAGGGGCTTGGGATACATAATTTTCAATTGAATGTGCCGGGAAAACACATGTGCGACTACAGTCGAGCGTGCATAGTAGCTACCCCTTCATTGTCACCTGCAATGCAGCTGTCGCCTGGCGAACCAGAAAGTTGCCAACTCACCGTCGAAGTTTTCCCCCTGGGAACCCTTAAGAACCCAACCCACTGTTTCAAACTCCAATTCACGTTTCTTTCCCTGCTCAATTTCAAGCCAAATCGAAACCTATTTGGACAATTACGAAAGAAGAAATCAGCTCAGAACTTCTAGCGAGCAATGTACGGTAATAACAATAAATAAATAACAAAGGCAAATAGTGGCCAGAACCAAGCCCCCAATGGCCAACAATAAAGCAGCAAAGAAAGAGTCAAGACCAGATACTCAACCTCTGACTGATTTCCCCATTGGAGCTGGTCCAGCGGTGGGGAATCCATCATCAAATTTCGATTAAAAGGCGCGTGTACTCGACTCAAGAACGATTCATATTCGGACTCGTATTCGGATATATATATATATATAGAGAGAGAGTTGAGAGTCATTCGCACTATTCAAGCTTCATTAGGAGGCAAAGTAACGAAAACATTTTGATTTTGATCATTACAATTTCCTTTCATGGCCTCCAGTTGAGTGAAAGAGCTACCGAAGGGGCCGCTGGCAAGGGTTAGTGGATCAAGCACCGCGCAGCAAAAGCGAATGTAATATCATTAATTCGCCTCAGCTCTGTCAGATACACAGATACAGAGATACACCGATACGATATGGCCGCAAAGATACGGATTCCAACACCGAGATACATTTACAGATTGTGGGCATGGACATGGGCACCGGCACCAAACTCATTCTGACGGACCACTCGGCGGAACCCGAAGCCAAAGGCAATAATTATCGAACCGAAAGCCGGTCGCCTGGTCCAAATATTGAAGACCATTGTGGCCCAACTGGCTGGCTTGCTGGCTGGCTGGCTGATTGTATGATGACCATGTTGAAAATGCTCATTAAAGGTACTTCAGAAATTAAAGCATTTCACAATTGTTCCAAAAGCGAGAGCCCCGACCAGGTTTAGAGTTCAGAGAGATTGAGATTTCGTTTTCGATTCGGCCCGCCATTTATCAGATGTTGTTATCTATCGCTGGCTTTTGGTCTTCACTCGAAGCTCAATTAACGTGGTCTTGAATGTCTTTCTGGGGTCAAACTTGGGGGCGCAACCGATGATTTTTGGTTGCACGAAAGGGGGATAGTCGAAAAAGAAAGCCTCGATTTAACACTTAAATTCTTTCTTTTCTACAAGCTTGTAATTTCAGATTTTCTCGCTTCATAATGCAACTACTACAATTACATAGTGATGGCTTTGGCGGCTGATTTTCTTTCAAGTCATAAGAAAATGTTCTTATTAAATTTTGATGATCATTACAATTACCTTGAAAAGTAGGGAAAGGTACGTACTTTATTTACTTACTAAATCATATCTGTTTTTAAATAAAGGAATATATTTCTGATCATTTGTATTAAATCATATAATTATAAAATGTATACATTTACTTACTAACTTCAAACTGTCTAAAAAATCTTTCTTAGGGAGTACCTGCTTAGGAATCTAATCGGCTTTATGTCTCCTCTTAGCCTAAAGTTAGTCGGCTACAGATTCACTTATCACCCCATTTAGTTATGGTCGACTATAAAATCCGAGGCAGGTAACACGTGAAACTTAAGCCCGGGGCGTGAAGACACCCAGCCGCAGATCGCTCGGCCCCCCTCCCCGTTGACAAAACTCATAAAGTGCCCAAAGACAGTTTTCATTTGACAAAATTGTTGTGTGCATCTTTTGGGTTTTTTGTTACACCTTACAATGGCCATAACTGAGCCAAGAGCTGGGCCTTTAGCATTGGGTCTGGGCTGCTCGGACCCATGCCGAGTGCTGTGAAATTTCCCAACAATAACCCGAACTCAATTGTCCCGCTGAGGAGAAGACGAAGACGAAGACCGTGAAGCTAGTCCCATGCTGTGAGCTCAGGGGCTTGGTTCTCCTGCTCACATTAATTTCTCATCATTTGGCATTGGCATGGGCATTCAGGGGGAAGAGTCTGAGGGTATGAGGCTCTGGAGGAAGGGACAAGACTACCAACTGCGTATTAATGGAAATGTTATAAGAGATTAGCAGGCATCCGCACCGAGAGATACAAAGGTGCTTCGGTGCGAGAACACTGAGTACAATTGCAACTGTTTTTGTCCGTTTAATGCGAATTTTTATGCATCGTCCATACAAATGCCATTTGCAGAATGGGACCGACACTGCAACTCGGGCGTGATCTACCTAAAAACTCAACTCATTACGGTCAATCATTGCAGTCGATGTAGATTTTACGGTTCCCCCTTCGGGTTGTGCAAGACTTTCCCAACAATCGGGTAATCAATCTGACAGGCTACCGCGTTTTGGGCAATTGTTTTCACCGATTGTTTCTCTATATGGGGCAGAAAATGAGGTCATATTGGGAAATCTTTTGCAGGGAGATGTTGAACAATGGGGGAAACGGTTTAAGGTTGCAATAATGTTTGTAAAGATAAGGAAATGCACAACAAGAAGATCGGATAACTATATCGGATTGCAAAATTTGCCCTAAAATTCAAGCAATTATATGATAATATTTTCCAAAAATCATTAAGATGTTGGAATAAAAATTTTGTTTATTATTTTTGGGGATTAATTAACTTTTTTTTAAATACACTTTTAGCAGCTGTCCAAACTCATTTAGCCACACCACCTCCAGTTACCAATTTCTCCATTACTGCCTCTGATATGTTGCACACTTAAAATAGATTCATTTTCCCTCAAGTGCCAGAGCACTGGTAAATGCAATTTCTGTTAAACAAAAATCGCGGAAAGAGGAAAAATCAAGCGGCAAGCAGCCAGTGCAGCAGCAACTCAAGCGACAGCATTTTTAATTAAATAATTATTATAATTGTTGCTGTAGCTAAAGAAGATTTTCATTTTCAGTTTTTCGTTTTTTTCGCACATTGCCATTGCAAGAACGACGCATAAAAATTAAAAAACATATATAAATGGTCGGTTGTGTGTGTATAATTATGTCAAAATATAAGACCCACAAAATAAACGAAATTTCCCAACAGCGAATGGTTTGGGAGTTTAAGTACGCGGTTGTGTGGGTAGGCAATCGCGTTCGAAACTTTTGCAAAAATATATTTTAAATTAAAATAAAATTGGGAAAAAACGGAATTGGGTCAATGGGAAAGCCGACAGTCAGAGTGCTCTATAAAATTATAATTGCTGAAAGCCGCATACCTAACAAAGTTTTCACAGAATTTAAGGAACGAATGTAAATAATATTAAATTGGTTAAGTCAAGAAATTTTAAGAAATTTTAATCCATTTATTTTAAATCATACTAATCTTTACGTGTTATTCCCACTTACAATAGTGACAATAGTGTTATTCCCACTTATAAGGCATTTATTAAGATCTAAAAATGTCCGGAAGCATATTTTTGTAAGAGCCATAGTCTAGTTTTTGTCTAAACTTTATCTTAAGGCCCAAGAAAAGTATAAACTGAAGACAAAAGCGTATTACGAGAGGTGAAATAACGTATCGAACGGATACTCTTCGAACCAACTCCGAGTGGCCAAATATAGGCGTGTAAATCTGCTGCGAATCTGCTGGCACCACCCACCCATTCATGTTCCCGGTGGCTGCGGCAAGTTGCAACCTCAACGACTGACAAACAGTAAACAGAAATCGGGGAAATCCGGCAGACATGCCGAGGAATTACGTTCCACTCACGGCCAGACCAGGGAACAGTAACTCTTCTTCGAACGGAGCAACCTGCAAGCAATAATGCTAAATTGTTTTTCATTTATTTTATAGGTTATGGTAATATTTATTTTAATTAAAAACAAATACGCACAACTGCAGACACGAGTGCCGGACCCCAGGCGTTGCCAATTTCTGAGCTTTTATATTCTGCGCTTTTTTCTATTGTGTATTGGTTATCGTTCGAAGGAAGCAAAAACATTGCATTCATTTGCATCATTTAAGGGTCACAAAATAAACGAATTAAATACAATGAAACAAAAAGTACACCAGTTGATGTTTTTTCGCGGTTACAACGAACCTTTATCAGTAACATGCAGAACGCGTTTAATATGCATTATTTTTTAAAACGAAAAATTCACATCCTTTGTTA